CGAGCCTGCCAGCCTCCACCACTACTATGTGAGACGATCCCTTGGGTGTCTTTGAGTTCTGTGAGGTGTTTCAGTGAAATACAGAACCCTAAGACGGGAGATTACTGAGAGGAGGAGGAGTTAATGTCTGAAATGATGGAGTGGCATGGTAGTTTGGCCATTTGGGACATCTTTAACCTCCACCTCATGAGGACCAGCTTTGCGCTGATCTTTCTAAAAGAAACTGTTCAAGCAGGAACAGAGACAAAGGGACTATTCCATCAGTTCACACAACCTGGAGGAATTTCTCCTGGCCAAGTCCTGTGTTTCAAATAAGGCATCTTCCCCTTGCACTCTTAACTGTGGTCACCTTATTTATTAAAATAGGTTCAGGTCATACTGACGTAGAGCCTACTTCATGCTGGAAAAGTAGATACAGCTGCAGACAAAACAGAAATATCCAGATGAATATGGATTATAAACTGAGTGTGGACTTTAAATGTAAAGACATACGTGTGTGTGTGTGTGTGTGTGTACACACTCACACAGTCAACTGGTGACACACACTATGAGGAAATCAGGACAGGAAGGGGAAGCAGGAAGGAGCATCAGCAGAGTGACCTTAGTAAGGGAGTGCAGAGAGTACAACGTGCATTCTAGAAGAGACTGCAGTGGTCCCACTAGGAATCTGACCTATTACGCTGCCACAGACAGTAAAGCAGTTGTTTTAGAAAACATTAGCTACTGGGCCTCGGGGTGGCTCAGTGGCCTAAGACATTTAACTGCTAACCAGAAAGTTGGTGGTTCAAACCCACCAGCCACTCCGCAGATGGAAGACCAGGCAATCTACTCCTATATAGATTCACTGCCTCAGAAACCCAAAGGGGGGTCGCTATGAGTCGGAATCAACACAATGGCAGTGAATTAGCTACTGAAGCTTGCCTTCGGAAGGGAAAAGATCGCTCTGTCAATTCTAACAACTTGGAAGCAGACCATAATGGTTTTGGAAATACTCATCTATGTTTCACATGCTCATCAACTTCACAACTCCTGACGTAGCGGCCCAGGAGTCCAAGGGTTCCACCAGCCCTCATGCCAGGAAGGGGAGACATGCTGCTTAGACCAAGAAGAGAAAAGGTCACTAGCAGGAGGCTGATACACACATTTGGGAAACCAGAGAAACAAAAGCACAGTAAATTAACAGCATTGAAACAGTCACACGAACGTAAAGCCCCAACAGTGACAGAGAACACAACAGAAGACTCCAGTGTCTGGTTCCACACATCAGGAACTTGGAAGTCGCCACTCCCATTGTCACACACACAAAGTGAACACACACAACTCAGAAAACTGAGGGCACAGGGAAAACTGCTGCCCCCCAACTGGAGGGTCACCTACGAAGGCACAGGGAACCAGACCAAACACCTAGAAGCAAAAACCACCACTAGGATCAGTGTCAGCACCCAACCCACTGCCATCGAGCCAATAACAACACATCAACACTCAGTGAGTCTCCACGGCTGTGTGTCTTTACAGAAGTAGACTGTTTCATCTTCCTCCCACAAAGCAGCTGGTGGGTTTGAACCTCTGACCTTCTGGTTAGCAGCCAAATGCCTTACCCCCTCCACCACCAGAGCCTCTTTTTAGTATCAGCACAGGAAACCTTAAAATGCCATTGATGAATGGCTGGAGGCTGGATGTGGACAAACGTCGGGGTTAAAAGTCCCAGGGGTCCAGTCTTAAGGTATCCACAGTGTCTGTGAGTTTCACCCAGAAGAGCTCAATCAGGTCCTCAGCGTGAGCAACAAAGAAAAATCACCCTGTGCTGCTTCCTTCCAAAAG